CAGCAAAAGATTACAGTAAAAGTGGTCACACAATGTTGAAAAGTAAATATAAAGTGTATAAAAATAACAGAATAAGAAACAGTCCTTTATAGGGACCTCATTGAAGCCAATATCCAGGACAAGACCTTATTACCTTTGTAATATTAAAGAAATCTGGATATTTTGATGGCAAAAATGAATGTCGATTTAACCACAAGAAACGCCAACCTGCCTGAATATATGAAGAAAAATAACAAAAGTGCTTCTAGAAGAAATTAATGAAAAACTCTCTGAGAGAAAAAGAAACACATTTTATTTTGTACTTTAATGCTAATAATTGCACTCACATTTTGTAGTTTATAAACCTAAATAGAATCACTAACCAGGCTTATTAACTTTATTCAAATAGTTTTACCTTTTTTTCTTCACTTGTTAACTTTTTTTCACCTTTATTTACAGTAGGAAATATAACATTCATCATCATCTAATTGGTCAAATGCCAAAATCAGATGTAGAGCCATGTAGCAGGATCTTTGCTGATTGGATGGATGGATGGAGGGGGTGGGGACTCCATTTGTAAGGGGTATGCAGGTGATCAAAAATGGTAACTTTCCTGTTCGGCCATTTTTGTGCAGTGCAATGATGACTGCAGGTGTTTCTTTAGAGATAACCATGGTTCACAGCAGAGAACCAATGATGCAGAGCAGCAGCCTCTTTTTAAAGTGTCCAGTGACGTCATTCTGACTGAATCCTGACAGATTGATCTGCAGCCCTGTCCTCATCACCACCCACACCTGTGTTAATGGACCAATCACTGAAACCATGGTAGCTGCTCCTTTAAGGCAGGGCTGCAATCACCATGAAATGTGTTTTGGGGATAAAGTTCATTTTCTAGGCAAATATTGACTTTGCAATTAATTGCTGTTACGCTGATCACTCTTTAGAACATTCTGGAGTTTATGCAAATTGCTGTTATAAAAACTGAAGAAGTAGACTTTGTAAATATTAACATTTGAATCATTCTCAATAAAAGGATTGAGAATGATTCTCTGTTTGTGTATATAGCAATGGAAAAATATAGAAATGTCTGAGTGGCTGTACTTCGCAACAGCATCCATTAAATAAACTGAAACATTTCTTTGTTTTCAGCAAGAAAAAAAAACAACAAAAAACAAAAACGTGAGGATTAGTTAAATATTCAGTGAGTTAAAGTTGATATAAATAGATTATTATGCCTCCTTAACACATTACAGAGCGGAGCTGTCGACCGCCCCAAGATGGCGCCACCAAATCGCGTCAGCGCCCAGAGGATAAAGCGATCTATGCGGCTCTGCTCTCATCTCTGCTGAGCGCGTTTCAGAATTAGCGGCACTTTGTTGTTTATCTATCTGCTGTAATTCCGGTTCAATCCAGTTTCTTTATAAAGCAGCTCAGGCTTCCGTTTACTGAAAATATTGCGGGTTTTTTCTGTTTCCTTGTATTTTTTCAACCGTTTCTCCCACGTGACGTGTCCTTTGTGTTGTTTAGTTTACACGCAGAGCTTCAGACACGCAGCGTGGGTGTCCTTATTTCCACATGGGGATATTTTGGGGGGTTTTATGGTGAAACCTCCACCTTTTTCTGAGCGGATACAGAGAGAAGCCCATGAGGCGCTGTGGGGGCCACAGGTCCCTGCGTCCCCCCCCTCAGAGCCCCGCGCTGGCCTTTGGTTTCTCCACCATGAACGTCTCTAGGAGCAATTATCGCGTGTTTTCTGCAAACTCCTCATCCGGCTGCACCGAGCTGCCCACCAAGATCACAGAGTGAGTGGGAATATTCTTCATCATTTCATGACATTAATGATAAAGATGCAGAATTAAGGGTTTAGTTTTCCTCATTCTGTCTGTTTACTGACTTTTAGCTTTTTGTTTATTGGAATATTTATTTAAAGCCTGCTGTAGAATATGGGCAGGAAAGAGTTAATGAGTTTTTATCACTAATTAAAAGAATAAAGTTGAATTTGTAGGAAGAATCCCTAAATGAACATGACGTCATCTCATTGGTTCATTGATTCCTGTCCTTAAAAACAGTTCAGGAGTTCAAAATAAAGT